TTTTTTTTAATTACCTGGAAACTCTGAAAGGTAAGACTATAAAATAATTTTACTTACTAGTAGGTACGTACATGTGTGTCTTTTTAATGGATAAGTATTTCCTTTTATCTCACGAAAAAAAAGGTGTTTGGATTAATAAATAAAGCGAATAGAGTAACGGAAAGTTATTGAGATGAGTGAAATAGGTAGTTATATGCGGTTCTGAATGAATCATGATACGGTAGGTACCTACCTACTTACGCTTGTGTTTAAACTTCGGTGCATGTGTGTATGCATAATTCAAAGTAAAGACGTGGTATTTTATTATTAATAATATTTGTTTATTATCTGTGTGTATAAATAATACTAGAAATTTTTTTTTACCGTCTGTGTGTCATTAGATAGTTTTCGAAATTTTCACAAAGTGTTTCTGCTGGTACTATAACTACATATACCACTAAAAACTGGTTTTATTTTCTCGGTATTAACAACAACACCTAGACTCATATATAATATTCAGATGTTTGAGGGTTGTGATTTTAAAACATTCGTAGTCAGCTGTTCAGCTTTTTAATAATTAATTAATTTATTGACCAAAGAATTTTTGTTTTGAGTTGTTGCGAGTTGTAGGTAGGTACCTAATTTATAGAGACAAAAGTAGAGAGTAAAAAGGTACTTACTCGTCAGCTGCTTCTTGCATTCTAGTTGAGTAGGTAGGTGTTGGAGTTTCTAAGGATTGGAGTTTTGTAACGCGTAAGAAGAAAGCACATTTTTTTATTCTATAGAAGGATTTTTAAGCTATTGCATAGCTTTTATCGCAGGCTCTGAGCGCGGCGCGGCGCGGTAACCGAATCAAGAAATTCTCAAAACCTAACGAAAAATACCTGACACCACGCAGATTTTTTTCTTTAAAAAAAAATGTTATGCAATAGCTTTACCGCGACATCTCCGAGAGTACCACATGTATTTTTTTCAGACGTCTTCAATGGTTGCAACTGATCCGGCGAGATGATTTGGAAAACAAACCTAACTTTAGTTCCTACCAAGTTTGTGAAAAACATTTTAATTTTTAAGATGTATTACGTTCATCAAATAGAAAACTTCAAAAAAAGAATGCCCTACCATTGTTGATGCTGCCAAGCTTAGCTAGTACTGATCCAGGAGTCTCTTTAAAAGAAGATAAACAAACCCAAACTGCTCCGTTGGTAGGAATTGAAAATAGTACACAGACTGAAAATGCAACAAATGAAATCTTTGCTCAAACCTCAACGAGTCTCTCTAGCAACACTCCAAGAAAAAGAAAATTGAAACTTGAACTCCTCCAATGCAGAAAGAAAATAAAATAATTAAATCTACCAATCAAAAAACAACACGCATTTTTATTGAACACTTCCTATTCAATATACAAAGTATTTCATTTATTTATATAAAAAGGATATTTACAATCACAAATCTAAATAGAAACAGAAAGTAGGCAAATATAATTAAAATACTGGAAACGGGCAGCCCTAACGCATGTTTACGTACCGCGCGGCTTTACGCATTTATTTCTATCATGCGGCCGAGTTACACTACTGTATTATAATTATACCGTGTCCTTACTAAGGATAGGCCATACCAGCAGTAGACTGTAAAAGGCTGTTGATGTGAGAATGATGACGCGGGCCGAGCCGCGGGCAAGCTAGTTATAAACACAAATGCTATATAACATTGCTACGTAGCATTTAAAACTGAGTTTAGTTTTTTCTTGTTTCCATGTATGTTGCCAATATTAAAAAAAACGAGTTATGCAAATGTTGACCAACTGCAGCTTTGGCAAATATGATAGGAGTTCCGCAAGGTCGTATGTATTAGAAGTCGTCATCGGCGTTAATCATTTAGTTTAAAATAAACAAGACTGTTGTCAATGCTCAGTTATACCATTTTTTTTTCTGTGCTCTGCTGCTGTGCGTTAGAGGATTTCCTCTAACGTTGTATGATTTTCATGAAACCATAATTACGATTGTTAGATGGCTGTTGATAGTATGTAGGTGCTAAAGAAGTAACTATAATAACACACCTCTGAGTCTTTCACATAATAATCTAGTTTTAAAGCCTTTATTAGCTCTTTTGGTGATGAAAACTAATATATAGATTATCTATCCATATATTAGTTTTCATCAACTTTCAGACGCTTGATTTAGTTAAAAACTTAAATTAAAAAAAAAAAACACGACGACACGATAAACAAAAAGTATTTTAAAATATTAAAGAGCTTGGGGTTACAGTGGTGATGGTGATTATATAAATGAACACAAAACAGAATTTTAAACATTTTGAAAGTACTCAGAGCTTTTAGTTTGTCAACAACATATTGGGAAAATTCATTAGTCAGTATTATTCAAGTGATGGAATGCAAACCGCAAAAGGTACATACAAACGATCGTTCGATATTTGTTTAATAAAATATTAAAATCTTTAATTTAATCAAAGTTTCTTAAATTGTAAAAAATATTTCAAAGACACAAGAATATTTGTGCCTGTATAAAAAACAAACATTAAACCTCGTAGGTACTTAAGTTACCAACAGTCTAAAAAGCAGTGCTTTAAACAAAGCATTGTTTCTTCGAAATATTAGCTCGTGCAGGTGCGCATTGAGAATTTATCGATATATATATTATATTTCAAGTTCAATTGAATTTTCTTATTCAGTTCGATGTACTCGTACTTAATGAAGTTTTCCGGGCGAAACTGTGTTTATTACCTGCTTTGCAGATTAATTTATTCAAGCCTTTCTTGCCGCCATTCGTCTTGAATAATGTAAGTTTAAAATGAAAAAAAAAACGATTATATGTTTTAATGTTATTGACAGCGAATACTCTGCGTCATTCAATTGAGACTAGGATCTCCTATAATACCATACTTATAAAGGATACCTACGAAACACTCGAGTTCTGAGATAAATAGAAAAGATCGATGGTAATTGCACCATATATTATATTGACTAGAAAGCTTTTACACAAGAAGACTTTAAAAGACACAAATATAAATTTCTACTAAGCATTTCTCCATGAGCATTGTAATAATACCTACCTTACGACGAGGCAATAAAAACACACTCATTACAACTGCTTATTTTATTGTTGTAACGTAGTACCCCGGTGAGATTGACTTGTCACCTCCGGATGTCAATTACTCAATTTGGGCTCAGATCAGAGGTATTCAATCATTCATAACCATTTCATTATTCGATACATTCGAACATTCTTCAATATTTAGACTTTAAAGATATAAATCGCTTTAAAATGGAGATGGTACAACTATTTTTGTAAATGTCCAATTAATAGAACCGATTGATTCATATATATAGGACAAACTGTTGCTTCTTGGTAAGGAACCACAAACGCTGTTTGAAGCGTTTTATTAAGGAAGCGTATCACTGGGTTCTCTGCTTAAATATTATTCATCCATTGCCACATCTTTTGGCATATTGAAAATGTTTCAAACATGTTTAAAACTACCTAGCTAAACCCACCATATTTTTCGCTATAAAATGACTACAAGAAAATCACTAAAAATTATAAAATTAATCACAATAGTATTTTTCAGAAATATATTTATTAAATTGATGAAGGTTTGCAGTTACCTCTTTATTGTAATTATCCTTTCTAATTTCAGTTTTATCACTATCATTGGATAAATACATTTACCGAAAGTATTTATTTCAATTTACATTGAGTTTTGCACAGTTAGACAGTATATAATGCAATATATATTGCAATGGGAGAGGCCTATGTCCAGCAGTGGACTGCGATAGGCTGATGATGATGATGATGAGACAGTATATGGCTTTAATCATTAGTACTTATTACTAAAAATATTTACTTACTGAGAGCAAAAAAAACTATTTAAAAAAATCAAGAGACATGGTGCGTTAACTTAAACATAATTCAACTGTATTCACTGAAAACAAATTTAAGTCTAGTATATAGAAACCGTATATAAAGATCTTAGCACGAATGTACGGCCGCACCGGAGTGTCATTTGTCTCGGGCCGTTTGCAGCAGTCACATGGCCCCAAGATGTGACGGCAGCGACCCTTGCCGCGATCAATGCTGGCGGTGACAGGTTTCGTCCGATCTGTCCGACCAAGATTTGACCCGCAATGGTGGCATTGTGCCATAACCTCCAATCCCCCAATTGTGCCAAAACCCGTCCAGATTCAGATACTCACCGAAGCAACCGTGTCCGGTAAGTATCTGAGTCAATCGGTAAGTGACACAGTCGTTCCTCCCTATCCACGCTTCGAAGCTCGAATAATCTAATAGGTCTTTACCTATGAAATTGCCGTTTTGTGTGCAATAAGTGAAAGTACTTATTTTTTCAAACTTTTTTACTTCTGTTATTGGAAGTAATCACCCATGCAATCGACGCATCTTTGCCAACGCATTAGCAGTTTATTGATGCTTCTTGTAAAAATCAGCTGGACGGGAGGCAAAAAACTCTTCAAAGGCATTTTGTACTGCCTCTCGGGAATTGAATTTTTTACCCACTAAAAAGTTGTCTAAATTTTGGAAAAAGTAATAGTCGGTAGGTGCAAGGTCTGGTATTACCTATTATTACTAGTATTACCTATTATTACGAAGTAAATTCTCATTGAATACATAGAGAGATTTTAATGAGATCAATATTGTTGCTATGAAATAAGATGGACATAAGTAAAAATTCACAGATAAAATATCTGTGAATTTTTGGGAATTTAAAAAGTTTGATGTTCACTGCTACGGCCCTTGTGCGTCACAGTCTATTGTCCCCTGTAATTTTGCTGCTGGTATTATTGGTGTGACACACATGCGTGCGAAATGAAATCAGGTCTTCCTGTTAATCCTTTGTGCTCAATTGGCCAGTAGGATTTGACACGTCGTCCAGTCAGTACAACAATTGTTGTATTTCCACCAACAATACAGTAGTTTACCATCATTATTATAACAATACTGACATAGACTGTGTACATAACCTTTAAGAAACGTTAAAATTTTGCAATGGATTATCGTCTATCAGCTTTCTTCTGCGTTGTAAGTACTTTAATTCGTACGAAAATATTTAATTTCAATTATTATTCTTGCAATAACTAGGAAGGTAATTTGAAGGGCTTTAATTGCTGATATGTACAATCTAAAGCGAGAGATAGCATTAGCTTAGCCTAACATTGTATGGCTATGTACTCATGTACAACAAAGAGTAAGACAATGGTTGTTCCCAAGGCATACACCTCATTTATTTATGAAAATTTTATTTGGTTTTCCTGATAGAAAATTCATAGCAGCACAGAATTTGACAACGTGCGATTTGGGAACAAAAGTTTAAAAATTAAAATGTGGGTGTAGTGGCAAGCTGACCTTCCCATTATCTTTGAGTATTATGTAGAAAGAAAGAAAGAAGAAAGAAAATGTTTAATAAAATCATTGGAGGCACTTCAAAATCAAATAATCACAAAATAGTCATCTCGGTCCAAATCCATCCATTCAAATCCAAATTATGAGTGTGGTGATTAAGAATACACTGTCAACACCCCTATTCATCCCGTATGGGTCCTAAGAGCCGACTAAGAGAGCAAACTCTGTAGGAAAACAGCACTGCAAAAAGAATGTAAACTTGGAACAAACCCTATACAAACACGACTGGCCAGCGTGGTATAGTAGCCCAAAACCTCCATTGTAAGGAGAAGCCTATGTCCATCAGTAGACGTTAGGGGCTGGTGATGATTGTGAGTCATCCCAATATAAAACATATACAAAAGAAGAATAAAATAACAAAATAACTAATAATATTTTCACACATATCACACACGGCCGTCTGATCCCAAACTAGGCAGAGCCTGCTGATAAACATACTTATATATTTCTAAATAAATAAATAATATAGAAAAAGCGAAATTAACATAGATGGCTTAGACTTTAGAAGCCTAAGGTGCCTAAAAGAATAAATTCGATGGGGATCGAACTCACAACACTGCGGCGAGGTGACCGCTTAAACCACCACGCCCTTCGTGCAGTTAAGGCAGATTTTGTACTTTCATTTTATTTTATTCTTACTTAGGTTAACACTGTAAGACCTAACACTTTAGATTAAGAGAAACTGATAAATATATATATTTTGTTGCAGATACTTATTGTGATTGTTGCAGCCATTCCTTATGAGCAAGTAAAAGTTGATCGGGAGAAGCGTGATGTTATAGACTCTATGAAGAATGCGTGGACGGAGGTGGTGAAGACCTTGACTGATGCTGGCGATGCCGTAGTTCATGTATTCAAACCGACGGAAAGGAGCACCCTCGATAAATTAGCCGACAGTGTGAAAGGCCTCACGCAATAACCAGTTATTTGTCATCAGTTACGTAAAAACCAGTATTAATCTAATATTAAAGTCTAAGCTGGTTTTTAATTCAAATATAAGACACGTCGTTATTATAATCTTTTGGTGATACCAACAAAATGCTTGATGTAATTTTTATTTTTGGTTGGTCGAGTATAATGTATTATTGATTTTTATTTAAGTATCAAATAAAATGTAATTTAGGTACTGGGGTTTTAGAGGCTATGCAGTGAGAACCAATACTTTTTTTATGTATATAAAAATATATTATGTACTTTACACAGTTTTGTCCTACAGTAAAGTTTTAATGTTGTCGATTCTTTTTAAAGTTTATAAAGAATCGATCTGAATTTATTCATAAACTATCGAAGATGAAGTTAACTATTTTAATGAAGAAATACAAAGCTTTGTTTTATATATCACAAATAAAAACACAAAAAAATGTTCTAGTGTTTTATTTAAAACAAATTTATAAATACTTGAAACGTTATAATACTTAAAATTGCACAAAAAGTTCATCGTATTGGGGCACTTGCACTGTATTGCGTAATATTTGTGTTCGCTTACACTTCACTGTGTCTTGTACAAGGAGAATCGACTTCGTAGATCCCATCTCGGTAGTGGGCATCAGTATCTCCATCATCTAATATCTCGATCAACTTATCAGTGCTGGGCATTGAGATTGGTATAGGACTTTCTGGGTAATCAGGTCTCTTTTCAAATTTTTCATCTTTGTTCTTATGTCGTGAAGGCAAAACTAAGATGCCAACGCCGATTTCTTTTTTCTGCGGTGTAGTTTCCTCAACCTCCCCAAGAATCTCGTTCCTGCGTTGCAGATCTGATATATTGCGGTGGTAAAACTCCGGTTTGTGTTTCTCTTTTACAAACATGCAATATGCTATCCATGCAATGACCAATAGCGCCTGCAAACAACCAAAGAATTTTATAAATTAATTATAAACATATAACGACTCTTTTAAGTATTAAAACCTAAAGAGGTTACAAATAACATTTAATTAATTAACACAGTTAAGAGGTTAAACAACAAAAAAGGAAAAATAACTTTTAAAGCGGTCTTCAAGACCACAAATATAAATATTATATTAAATAAAAGAGACTTACTAAAATCAGAGCTACGATAAATCCAGCGATGTATAAAGTCATTTTAAAAAAAATACGTCGTATTTACGTTCTCGATAGTGAGACGAGTGGAGCAAACGAGGTTAGATTGGTACAGTCGTGATGGCGGGCAGTCCCGTCGTCACATTCAATTAATGTCAGTATAAACTCCGAGCTCTTTTAGTCCGTGATGTCACTGGGTTTGATTGAAGTCGACACAATGAGAGTAAAGAGATTCGTTCGAAAATTTCTGCAGGAAACGTCTTGAGTAGAGAAAGAGCGCTAGTATAATAATTATTGTTTGATTGCAAATTATGCGTAATTTCTGATGTTGGAATAACTTGAGACTCATTTTCCTGTATCGACATGACGTAAGAAAATGATTGGTCAACGTATGCTACAAAAACACAGAATGAATATTTAAAATACCTATGAGTACAACTGGAAATCATATTTAATTATTACAGGTAACAATGCGTATGTACGTGATATAAGGCATTTTCTTTGTTCTTTGAAGATATAATATTTATGCACTTATCTATTTTCTCCTTGTATAACTTCAATATGAATAATTAACAGAATATTATGAAATTTATAATTTAAACTTCGATGGTGGCAAAAAATCATGCAATAAGACTTATCAATAGCCATCGACTTATGTTAACCTTATTAATCCCTTTTAATGGCTTTCTTGAAAGACCACATTTGTGACAATCTGGTATAGATTAACGCTGGTGAATAAGTATACCTTAATTAATTTTGTGCCTGTGGAAGAAAGGACCATTTAAATCGCACAGTAGATATTCAATGTTATTAATAAAAGTTTCTGTTTTAGTTATAAGTGCTTATAAACTCCGCAAATTTGGTAGGTATTTTAGACTGAGTCTAAAATTTCTTTGTTATGACTGTATATAAGTAAATAATTTCGCTTATTAAGATCTAAAGGACTCTACAACACTAAACCATACTTTTATTATGATGATGATAAATGAGAAAGTAAGTTTTTTTGTTTGTTTGTTACGCTTTCACGCCTAAACCACTGAACTGATTTTACAAATTCTTTCGCCAATAGAAAGCTACATTACCAGCAACTAACATGGGCTACTTTGTACCGCCATAACCGACATACACTTATGCGGAACCGCGAGCAAAAACTAGTGAACAATAATTTTAAATGTTCGCACTTTACAAAACCATATATTAATTTATATATATTGAAATTGTCAATGTACACAAAATTATTTAAAGGTCACGTAGCAAACCAAATCGATTGTATTATCATGAATGTAGTCACATTGTACATGTTTGTTGTACAATAGTGTACAGCCAGTACTTATTGTAATACAATATAATCGATTCCATCCATCCTATCCATTTATTGGAACCTATAAAGTAAGTACTCAACGACTTTCAATAGCAGTAGTAAAATGCACGTCGCAGTAAATAGAAATGTGTACTGCATCAAGGACTCTTGTAACAAGCTTAGGTAAAACAAATAGCCAAATCCTTCGTTTTTCGTTCAAATTAATAAAAAAATACTGTAGAGATAGATTTTATTATAACACAGGTCCACATTTGTCTTAATATTTTTTTATTTTACTATAAACAATATACTAAGCACACCCACATACATGAATTGCTGTATATGCTTCTAAACCTAAGTGCATTGAAAAAGCACTATGTATTTAAATTAGCATTATACGAAATGTAATGAAAAGTTAAATTAGTACATTTTTTTTTCAATTAAAAATAATAGGTTTTAATTATATATACTTTAATGTTTTGGTTTAAAAATGAAAACAAGTTTTTATTTACTTACAATTCAAAAAGGAGGAAATAGTCAAGAGAAAACCCTTAAACTTTATTAATCCATGAAACCATATGACGGAATGAACTTACAACACTTAACGTGAGAGGATGGTTAGAAGTAATGAATGACTATTTAAATATCGGGGCGAGCCCGAAGTATGTTTAAACTACGAGTAGTTCTAGCTGGCTTAACTGTAGGTGCGGTCGGTAGCAGTTCAATAAACTAGTATTTCTTTGGACCTACTTTTAGCAATGATAAATCACTTCAACCTTCATTTTTCATTCTTTATTTTGTCTAGCAATTTGGCGAATGAGCATTTAATCTATTATGTCATCGACAACAAGCTTAGAATTTGTATGAAGAATAAATAATATCTATAAACACAGACTATGAGGTGTGTCTCAGAATAAAATTAAATGCCCGGCTAGTGGACGAACTTGGCCCACTTCTTCAATTGAAAAGGTCATCCATGCAGCGTGTCATATAAAATGTTATTTAGAGTTCATAGGTGGTCGTATTTCAGATGCGCTCAATATATAATGTACATCTTTAAAAAAAAACAAATCTACGTATAATAATCTATAAAGACATATATGTATTTACACCAATATTATAAAGCTGAAAACTGTTTGTTTGGTTTAACGGTCTAATCTTAGGAACTACTAGTTAGTAAAAAAAACTTTTTGTGCGATAGCCCATTTATCGTAGAACGCTATTGGCGAACGCTATAATATTACGCTACCACCAATAGGAGCCGATCATCAATGAAAAATGATGCAAAAACGGGTAAAATTTTTTCATTTTAAGAGATTCGGACGAAGTGCCGCGAGTCCGCTTGTTTACAATAAAGGTGAGAAGTATTTTTAACCGACTTCCAAAAAGGAGGAGGTTCTCAATTCGTTAGATTTTTTTTTAGGTGTGGTGACGGATTAATAATACAGAGTGTCATCACCCCTGTTCATCCGTATCCGTATGGGTGTCGTAAGACTAAGGGAGCAAACTACGCAGGACAACAGCACTGCAAAGAGAAGGAAAACTTGACATAAACCTTATACCAACCCGTCTGGCCATGGTATAGTAGGCCAAAACCTCCTTTCTAAGGAGAGGCATATGTCCAGCAGTGGACTGTTAAAGGCTGTTAATGATGATGAAAGGCAAGTCGCAAATATTAAACAACTTTTTAATTTTCAATATATAATTACATTAATTAGACATTTTTATTTGTTTTATTTTTGTAAAATATTCAACATCTGTACTAATATACATAGAATTGTATTTTTTTTTTCTGTCCTAGCAATCACGCGTTTGTATCCCTGGAACATAAAAAATTAGGCATGAAACATTTTTATTTAGATTAAGCGCCTGTCTTTGTTGAGAACATGTCCAATACCATATAAGCATCAAGTAACGACCTTTAGTAGCGTAGCAGCACTCACAGCGAAGGTAAAACGTGATCAAGAATAAGATAATAACAATAATATACTACACACATCACACGCAGCAGCCTGATCCCAAACTAGGCAGAGCCTGTGCTACGGTAACCAGATTGCTGATAAACATACTTAAATAATAATATTGTTTAAACCTAAAAATCACAAATTACATCTAGACAGAGAACAAATGATCTGCTTATCACACAATTATTTGTCCTGAATGGGAATCGAACCCACGACCTTTGGCTTAGCAGTCAGGGTCACTAACCATCAGACCAACAGAAAGTCAAGAGATCCTAAAACTCACAAGAAGGTCAACCTCTAGGTAGCTCTGGTCATAATCATATTATATTTTAAGTATATTTAAAAAGTCATTTCGATTTGTGTCGTTTGTGATTTATAATTTTTTATCATAAACAGAACTCAATGACCTATGTATATCTCCCTACTGACAACGTATAATAATAACCTTATACATCTCAATGAGAGGAAAAATAACACAAATCAAATAATAATAATCTACCAGCTTCCTGAAAATATACAAAAGTGCTTAGAGCGCTAATGTTAGGCAAATGTGGCACGTAGATGCTATTGCCTAGTGCCAAGTCATTCTTTTTTTTAAGATATAAAGATCAGATCTACACCAGTTTCTTTTTATAGTAGAATAACTGCTTAGCAACACTTGCATTTGTTTTTTTATCATTTGGTTTTTGAAATCGTATATTTTCCGTTTAGATTTGTGTATTAAAATAAATATTGAGATAGCTTAAGTGACGAAAATTAGCATGAATAGCCGAAATAGTGAATGTCAGTTTCAGTATATTTTCAATTATTTTATCGCAATAAGTGACCAGTGACAGTAACAGTGTTGTGTTGGTACTGGTACCAACACATCACTGTAGTACCAACACATAATTATTTTCATTATTTATTACATACTGTTTACATTAAATGAATACGTTGTAAAAATGACATCACAATGAGTTATTTGCTACTTTACTCTAAAGAATAACTAGGAAGTATACTAAAGGATAAGCATAACTCATCACCGCTGACCATCATTCTTTTTTTCTAGAATTAAAAGACGACTTCCGCATTAGAAATATACCCTGTGTCGCGGGGACTTTACAAAAATACACTAAACGGACACAAAGAACACCCAGACTCAGAACAACAATTTGTAGATCACACAAACTAGTGTCCCGTATGGATAGTAAGCGGCGTGGCGACCACTTAAACCACTACGCCATCCGTGCAGTCAAAGATGATTACCCGCCTAAATCGCTTAAATTATTACCCTAGCCATTTGTTTTCTTTTTGTTAATTTTCCAAAAACAAATTGACCAATATAGCAATATTTAAATGTAAACAAAACGTATATGAAATACAATTTAGCCATTGGACAATTGGCGATGATTTATTTTCTGCATCCGACGAACCTCACTGAACTAGAAAACGCAACGTGGGCTGTTCACTTACGCGCCTAAGGCTGGCTGTCGCTGTGGTTTTTAGTGGAATCACCACATACTCCTGGCTCCTATATCCACAAGGAGCTGACCAAACCAAAAAAAAACTGACTCTTGTCTGTTAAATCTTCATGAGACGCTTTTATGTTGTTTTGAAATGTTCATATTTGTATAAATTATCAAGTATATAATGTTATGTGCCTAAATTCCTGAAAGGACTTGGTAATATTAATGTATTGTTATTATTATATTTCTTCAAATAAAAGTGCTACGAATTCAAACTTACCTTGATCCAAACCAGACTTGTCTGCTGCATAAGCTGGAAATAAAAAATAA